AAGCCCTCACAAAATACAAACGTGAAACAGTAGAATAATGCTGCTGTGTTTCGTATGGTAAATAAAGAGAACCGGAGACGATATTTACTAAAAACTAGGCATTGCATCTTAGTCCTCAATGGTCGCATCGCATCTGCATTTTGATTCTTAATCGAGGATAGATGTAGGTGTTGTTAGGCCACAGTAGTCACTTACCATAAGTTGGACTGTGGCTCGTCTGTCACCCTTATTCTGTTCAAAAAGGCTCTATCACTCAGTTGTCGTTGTAAATAAAGTACTAAGTAGTAAGGCAACTACTTTGGTTGCCGTCAATCCCTCAAAGTAGAAGCACGTGTGTAATATTATAATAATTCAGTTCTCTGTCCACAAGATGTTTACAACGGCAACATCTGTATAAAAAACCTATTTAAACATCGCTGTTACAATTCACACGCAGTGAAACTTATGTTTAAAAAAGAAACCAATTACGATAGCAGGTTCACGGATGCGGGGAGGTCGCAGCCAATGTCTCGCATTGTTCATTGTTCGATCGCAAACGTCGATACGAAGGGCATTTCCTCTCTTGCCGAGCCATCTGACCATGAGCACGACTAGACTAAGCTGAATGGAGTCGTGCTAATTAACGATAAATAGGTTTGCCACATTACTAATGTGTATTGTTTAAGCCTTTCGATGACAATGGACATTTCTCGCAGTAAACTATTCACCTTGACGCCGTAACTATGAGGACACTACTAATTCAATTTGTAAATAATTATGTATGAAAGCGATTAAAGGAAAATAAAACAAATTGAACCATAATATATATTATATGTCCCACGGCTAGGCACAGGCTCGTTAACCCTCTCAGGGTAATGGAGCAAATAGTCCTATCTATGCGCTACTCCCACGCGTGTTGATACTTCATATATCCTTGATATATTTTATTTCTTAAACAGTAAGCTTTCCTCACAATGTTTTCCTTTATCACCGAACACATGGTACATCAGAACTTAAACTTACAAATAGTAACAGTTTTTTGGGTGCTGAAAAGGATCGAACTCGAGCTGCTCGCATACTGTGAAATTTACAGCGAGCGATCATTGAACTATTCGATAATACCTCAATGCGAGCGATACAAAATATAATAATTATGCGGGAATAAATGATGAAAAAATTAACAATAAAAATTAAAAAAGTCCTATATACCTATATAGCTTCTGAATTCGGTGCTAAAACATTATAGTAGGTATCGAAGAATTTTATCCCCCTTTTCCAGTTAGAAGTGAATTTTTCTTAAAATTATTTCGGAACACCCCTAAAAGATAACCTATTTAGCCTAGAAATCGGTAGACATACGTAAAAACATAACCTGACGAATATAGAACCTTCTCGTTTTTGGAACTCAGTTAAAAATATTACAACCGCGTCAAGCGGGGCGCAACTAATATTCTGATACAGTAATTACGGTCACGTAATAACAAACTGTACTCAAAGCACGTAGCGAAATTGAATAACTGCCCGAGTAACCAAATACTCGATTGAGCGGAACTCTGAATACGCATATTTTTTGTTAATACAGAAAATAACATAACTGAACGAGGCCGGGACTACGTGATTCGCGATAGCAACTTAATTTAGTAACTTGTTTTAGTAGTAATCGACCAGTGTAGACGTCTACATTGCTTGAAAATTGAATAACGTGTGTGGTACTTCGTGGGTAAACCAACGGATATAAGCATAAGAACTTATTAACGATGTTGCGGCCAATATTAAGAAATGAATGTTTAGGTTTAGGTTAGGTCTAGTTCGCCTTCCTTCGGGAACCCGTGCATTCTGGTCTCTCGCCAAGGCTATCCAAGGGAACGTCATCTCTTACATCTCTGCACAGAGAGGACGACTCACTGGCCCATGCCGCAATAGTGAAATCCGATCTGTTAGGCTCTCTCTTCGCGTCCAACTCGACTCTCGATGACGAGGGGAAAACACCGCCGACCATCCATCCATGTGAGTGCTCCATGCTGGATGTGCGATTTACACAGCGATCGGTTCGCAAAGCACTCTTCTCCCTGAAGGTTAGTAAGTTGAGTGTGTCTGAAGGAGTCCCTCCTATTGTGCTGAAGACGTGTGCTCCGAAGTTGGCACCGGTTTTAACGCGTCTTTTCTGGTACTCCTACTCCTTAGGCGTAGCCCCAGTCATGGAAGACGGCTTTCGTCCACCCGATCCCTCAAAATAGCGACCGCTCAGACCCGTTCAACTACAGGCCTATCGCCATCACCTCCTTGTTAACATAAAAAAAACATAAACACTCACGCCTGTCACCCAGAGGGGTAGGCAGAGACTACGGACTTCCATTTGGCACGATCCTGACATACCTCTTTCGCCTCCTTTACATCCATATATCTACGCATACATGCTCGTCGGTTAAGGGTACTTCTAACGTGGCCCATTTTCAAAATATCGTCAATTTGGTCGATAAACTTTTTTCTAGGGCGTCCCTTCCCGACTCGGCCGTTCACATCTGCCATATAAATTTGCTTTGTCACTCTTTCCTCATTCATTCTTTCTACATGACCAAACCACCGAAGCATTCCTTTCTTAATCCTGGTCACAACATCATCTTGCATACCACATTTATCTCTTATCACGCAATTTCTCACCCTGTCATTCAAATTCAACCCTAGCATATTCCTTAAAGACCGTATTTCTACAGCATTTATTCTACTTTCGTGCTTCTTCTGCCACATCCAGCTTTCACTACCATATATTAAAGTAGGGACTAACACAGCATTATGAATTACCATACGTGCCTTTTTGCAAACACCTGTCCATAAATAGGTTGAACAGCCAAGGGGAAGCTACACAGCCCTGTCTGACACCTTTTTGGATGCCAAACCAGTCCGAGTAGACCCCATTGATCCTGACACAAGCACTAGAGTCCCTATAAAGAGACCTTAATGCCTGTATCAAACCAGCGCTCAAATATATCTACAAAATCTATACATGTCTAACTCAGATGATTTTTACTTCATTTGAGTTGTCTACAGAAATAAAATCGAATTGTCTGGACGTAATGCCGAAATAACTGCCTTTTATTAAGCTGAAAGAACACGAGTAACCATTTTTTTTTTCTGTTGATTTTAAAAGGTATTTAAGTGGATAATGATTGGAGCGGAGTTCCTATGGCGCAAGAAAACGATTCTTTGAAATCTATCTCCTCCGTAGCCCGTAGGCCAATTTACATAATTTAAGGCAATATTTGTAGCTCAACGCGGACAAGGTTTGTAAAATAAAAATTAGAATTTGAATTTTTTTTAATGTTTTACTATTTAATCAATTGATTAGACGAGCTGATTAATTTACATTTGCGCAATGTCACAGCATTTGATTGAATCTTTTGTTGCAATAAAGATAGTATTATGACTTAAGACTTTCAATCCGCTCTGTTTATGATGCTAGCAAAAGGTTTTACCTTTGCATCTGCATCGGCCCTAGTATTTTATTAGGAAAGTTGGTTCAAATCGGATCTATTTCGCATACGCTCCAATTCTTAGTCAGCTACATGAAGGATCCACAACAGTATGTGAATTTCAATCAATTATAAATATATTGTGGAAAACAAGAGATTATGAATATGGACTAATATACTAATAATTTATAATAATGATAAGTAAATTATCAGAAGTAGTCAGAGATAGTAGAGAGATAGTCAGTGTTTATTATTTGCAGATGACCTTAAATTGCTACTTCCGTTTAGGGATATGTTTATATGTCTGATTGTGAACGTCTGCAGGAGGACATAAACAGAGGGTGGTAAAGTGAATAGATGAAAATAATTTGTATTTGAATGTGTCAAAAAGCTCGGTGTTGTCGTTTACTCGTGCGCGTAAGCCGATCCACTTCGAATACAAGGTGGATGCGACACCGATGACGCGTATGTCTCAGGTACGAGATGTCGGAATCCATCTCGCCCCCGATCTAACGTTTCGCGAACATATGTTTAGCCTGTAAGGATAGCTGTTAAGTGTGTGTAAATAAATAAATAAACCGATTATAATGAAACCTAACGAACAGATACAGAGCGATACTGGTAGTAAATAGTGATCTAAGCTATTTTTGGGGTGATTTTTTTTTAAATAAATTGATAAAATAATAGTGTACATTAACCACAATTATTGATCCCACCGAGGCACAACCAGGACGGTCGTTAGTAGGTACGTTATAAGTTTAAAAAAACTCGTAACATTAATTGTTTAAAATATAAAAATCCCATGGTTTTAAGATATTTACATTTAGCCGCCGCTGCTCTGGCTGCTCGTGGTGTCGTAAAAACTTCCCGAAATATATCTGTTCTGTTTAATCGATAGGCAGATGTTCCTTCGATTACTTACTCGTATTTTGAATGAAGTACACGCAACGGCGGACACAAATTCAAAATACCCTACAGCTTTTTACTCTCAATTACTCTCTCTGCGTCTGACTCAAAATGTACAAAAATTTTGTTCGTCGTCGCCCATTCAGGACAGGTTGGACAAAAATATAGTAGTTTAGACAAGATTTTGACGTTCGAAAATTGACATACTTATTGAAATAGTGTATGATCGGGAAAAAATATGCGCATATATGAAATACCCAATTAAATTCTTAATCGAATGTATTTTCAAATTAGGGTGAGTATATCAATTTAAAAAAAACTGAAAGGGAACGGAAAAATACTTTGATGTTTGAGTTCTCGTTCTTTTAATCGATAACCATATTATAATATTTTTCGATAATATGAAAGGCACGTTCTTTCCTGATAATAAGCAAAAACTTTTAAAACACTTTTTGTTCACCAACTGTCGCACGCTTAGTTCGTGCTGGAAGTATGCATGCAGTGGAGAAAAGAGCACTAAAAACGTTTTAACGTAGGAAATACTCGCCTTAAGCTATTCGCGATGCCAACTTCCATGATCACTGCCGCGGTGATAAGATAATTAATGTAATTTAGGCATGAGAAATGAAAATTAAGACTACTTACATGTTGGGCGTGTTCTGTTTGGCCGTGTCAATGGAATCCAAGGCCTTTGCGGTGGTAGAGTAGCAGTAACTGTAACAAAAACAAAGAATTTATTTAAACCAAAAATAATATCGAGGAAATATATAATTACAGTCGATCTATTTTAACTATGATATCTAACAATTGACTTTTACGAAACAAAACGAAAATAAAGCGCTTAGACAGAGTAAAAACAAAATTTGACTATGGCCTAGAGCAAAAACACACTGTTATTATAATAGAATCGCGAATCGTGCGTGTGTATCTTGGCCTTAAATTAATATTTTTGCAATCACCGATAGCGGGAAATCATATTTTGGATTGCAGAGCAAAAAAAGGTTAAATAGTTACGCGTCACCTCGATATTTCATCATGGTCGAATAATCAATCTTATGGTGCTTATAAATTTCTTTTTAGTTTAGTTATAGGAAACGACTAAACGGTTACAGAAACAGTTTTATGTCTAATGGTTCGATCGCGGTTCTCATTATGAAAATTATACCGGAACCGCTAATATCTATCAAAAGATAATGACTTAGGAGATAAGTTTATAAAAAAAATATTGCACATACCTTGGTCATTTGTAACATAATTAATTTGACCCGAAGTGGTTAATTAATACTTCGAAAACGAGTGACAAGAATTGAAATGACTACAACTAATAAGAAAGACAATTTTGAACCATCAGTAAAAGAAGCAAAATCGAGACAAAAAAAAAGAAACTTGCGAACGTAGCTGGTTCAAAATGTTGTTGAAGGAAATTAATCAACAGTTGGTGCATGTCATGTTTTTATTGATGTTTTTCATACCGTTCAATGTAGTTAAATAAATGGGTTATTTGTTCACTAGCATGTTAACGTGAGTCAACAACTGGATTTGATTCAATTTATCCCTCCTTAAATTTTCTTTATAATCGTATACATGAAATACATATTGCTATATTGATCATTATGTATAACGTGTATGGAATACGACTTATGGAGCGTTGACTACACTTAAAACGGATATTAGCTACCGCACCATTTGGTCATGTTATGCAAACATAAGCCAAGAAAAGACTTGGCTATTTGGATTCTCGCCTTAGATTTTACATATGGTAAAGCATTTCCTAACAGCTAGTACATGTTGGTCTAAAATTAGAGATGTAAATGATTTGTAAGAGTTGCGCGCAGTCGGAAAGCTTAAAATATATACTTATTACCAACTGTTTGACATAAAAAGTATGCAAGTGAGAATAGAATGCCTTTTAAATTTCATAAGTAAAACAGTGTGTGGCAGCTAGCGGCGTAAAAGAATCCACAACTCCATAACCCCGTAAGTGTCATAAGACGCCGCAGAGGAAAGCTGAAACGGGAGATGGAGAACAAGATCATCCTGATAAAATTCAAAATAACCAAAAATAACAACCGTCACACCGTGAACAAGGTGTAAAAATATGATCGAAAAAACGTGAAAGTAATAAGTCTGCCGCTTTGACATCTTGAAATATTCAATAAAATTTACCTATAGCAGTTCCAAGAGATCACGGCAGATGGTTGACAAGTACATATTATGAAATAATTTACGTAGTTTGTTCCCGATCGAGCCGACCCATCCAAGCTACAAGCATAATATAGCTGCAACATGGCGACTGCTCCTGTAAAACATTGCTGGGTGTGGTCGTTATCAAGGAACGAAGCATCGTAAAGATTTTAGTTTTAGTACCTTGCACAAGTGGGAGTCTGTACATAATATAGCCTAAATATTAATGATAACATAATTGAGACCAAAACGGTTGTTTTACTGATCTAGATTATTTGTCTGCATTCCAACCGTCTTCATGAATGTAAATGGTACAAATATGAAAATTTGCTAAATTCCTCCAACATTTTCGATACTGCAATTCAGGGTGAACTTCGTTTTTTATAGTGTTATTAATTCGTTAGGGGGACTACAAGAGCCAAGTGACCTCGAATGATGCACGCACACATTTACACAATCAAGTGAACGCCATCTAACGACAGTGAGGTTAAACTAACGGATTAGCGAGGTTACGCCCGAGTGTTTTATAACAAAATAAAATAATAAGTAAAATATAGATCTAATAAACAAATAGATGAAATTATTTTAAGTGTTACCTTTTTGTTATTTGATTTGAGTGTTACTTGTAAATTGAAGGATTTGGGTGATTTTGAAATAAAACTGATTCGAACTTATAAATTTTAATTACGTAGAAATATCAATTCTAATTATTCTAGTTCTATGGTTCACAAGAGAGGTGATTTTGCATTTCGTTTATTTTTTTGTATTTGACTTTGAAAAATTGTTAAGCTACAAGTAAAAGAACTAACAATCATACAAGGACCTAATAATTATATTAGGTTCTTACATATGAAATTGGCGTTTTATACGGGACGAATATAAAGTCAATTTTTTTTTGTAAAATACATTTAATTAATCAAAGTATGCACCTAATGATTTCTTAAATTTACGCGAACACTACACATTGAATAAAACTATTATTTACGGATTTTATCGCGTTTAATTACTTTAATTTATTTTTATTATCCCGACGTTTCGGGTGCTTTACAGCACCCAAGGTCACGGGGGGGGGGGGACTAAGATGTTTGACATCCCAATGTCATAGTCCGGCTACCTTCAGTTTTTGAATATTAATTTTTGGTCCGATTTACGCAAAACGAGCTTATAGTATCATAAAGTCGGAGTGGTAAGCTTGGGTTTGGGTTTAATTTACATATGAAACTGGCATTTTGTACGAGACGAATATAGAGTCAATTTTTTTTTGTAAAATATATTTAATTAATCAAAGTATGCACCGTTGTTATATATGCACTTTTGCCATCTCATAGGTAGTTCATGTTGTTTTTAGTAAAGGGATCCTTTAGTAAAAAAACCATGGGGGCGAGAATCAATAAACTCTTTAAAGGCGGTTTGGACTGCCGCATCGGAGTTGAATTTTTATCCTTGTAAGATGTCCGAATTCCGGAAAAATGGTAATCTGTTGGAGCAAGGTCCGGAGAGTACGTTGGATGTCGCAGACATTCCAATTGTAGCTCATCTAACTTAGAAACATTTGGATTAAAAAAAAATTAAGGGTGGTATTCAACTCGTTATATATTTAAGACCGGCTGTCATAAGTTTTGATTGTTGATTCTTACATACATACATTATTACAGTGTTAAGTATAATATAATAATTAATAAAGTTTAGTGTTGCTAACAGAATCAATTAAGTGAAAAATTATAATAAAATGATAAAAATTTACCTGTTTCTGAGTTATTTCTTTGTATTCATTCTTATGTGTGCATGCCAAATTTGAACTTTCAAGGTCATCTGGAACTGGGTTAGAGTTATGATCTTTAAGTCAGTCAGTGATAAAATGACGATTTTTGGACGTTAATATCTAAATAACCGTTTGAGAAGTGTTTATGAAATTTGGAGCACACATGTATCTAGCAAGTCTCGCAGAGCCAAATTTGACACGTTTATGTAAAATAGTTTTGAGTTATGAGTGGGTCAAAAGTGGCTCCAAATGGTTCGCGTAATATTACACACGGTGCTATTCGCCATTCTGCTTGAACTTGGCTTGATACGCTACCGCGTGTCTAGATATGCGATTTAAAAAGAATCAATTAATTGGACTAAAAAATTAAAACAACAATAAGTTAATATGTAACTTGTATAATAATTAGTAATCATCAATGCATGTATATTAGTATGGTTTTTACTTGTCAAACGAAATTTTTATAGGTATCTTTGTGATTTTTTTTCTATCGTATCAAATTAATAGTATCATGTTTTCAACACAACACCTAACCAGTATATATCGCAATACCGACAATCCTCTTCCCCCCGCAGCCCCACCACCACCGCATCAACGGTGCGGCCCCGTTTGAGTCGCGAAGGATAGGGCGAGTGGCGCATCGCCATACCAACACTCCTCTTCCTCCGCGACTCCACCTCGGCTGCAGCGGTAGAGGGTGCGCGAGTCCCCACTCGCTGCAGTCCACCAGCACACATCCGAAGTGGGCTCCCCAAGCCCACTCGGAGCGGCCACCTCAGGCCGGCCCTTCACCTCGGGCCAGCCACGTGGGTTCCTCTTTGTTCACCGTGGGAGACCAAGCCACGGCTACTAAGCCGTCGTCGAGGTCGAGTCGACCCATTTGTGCTACAACCATAATATAGCTGCAGCGCGGCTCTACTACGTAAAAACTTTAGAGAAAGCTTAAGTTCTATGTTTCCACGGTTATCGCAAACGTCTCTTATGTTAATAATAAGCAAAGCTTGTTCGTGGAACTGAACTAGATAATAAAATAAATTAATTCTGTAGTCAGAATGCCGTAAAAGCAGCACAAGATATTCACGGCAATGTCTATGTATGTAGTACAGAGCAATGTCTATTAATAAGGACACGAAACCTAATACAATTTAGGATTATCAGATATTTTGAAAAGTGTTTCCGTAGCTATGACTACTATAACGATAACAAAGGTAATATTATTAATAATGTTAATGTAACATTTTCATCAACTTTCTTTTTCAGTTTAGTTACATACGAACTTGCAACCTACGTGCGTTTAACAGTGGTAGAGCCACGCGGCAGCCTTTGCTGTTGCATGTATGAGCCGTCTCGAACCGGGGTGGTACCATGACCTCAGAGAAGACCAGCGTAAAGTAGAAACTCTGCTTCTGCATTTCGTCTGGTGAGTGTGGGTGGCTGGAGGTCTAATTCCCCCCAGTTAAATAAAACACTACCGCAGGAGGGAGTACCAGCGCCCCCGATGACGGAGAATTCCTAGCTGAGCATCCACGTCCAAGCTATCCGTGAATTTCTGCAACATCAGGGGACTTCATTCAAACCTTAACGCCGTCCACTACCATCTAGAAACGGCGAAGCCGGCCTTGCTCTTTCTAACCGAGACACAGGTGTTCTCTCCGGCTGATACTTCGTATCTCTCCTACCCGGGGTACAAATTAGAACACTCCTTTGTGCCCCGGGATAGAGTTTGCGCATACGTCAAAGAGGACACCTATTATCGACGCCTCGGCAGTCTTGAAGATTCGGACTTGTCCATCCTTTGGCTACGCGTAGACAACGAGGACCATTCGCGCGTCTACGGGTGCCTCTATAGGTCCCATTGGGCAATGCCGACACAGACGGACTCATCTACCACGTCCATACAACAGGTCCCATCCGTAGAGATCGTGAAGCTGGTGATTTTAACGCCCACCACGCTGAATAACTTGATTCTCGTTTAACCGATTATGCGGGTAGATCTGTTTAAGACTTTGATTTGACATATGGTCTGGCACAACTTGTTACCTCGCCTACGTGGATCCCAGATGTGTAAGATAATGTACCTTCCCTGTTGGACCTTCTACTGACCTCTCATCTGGACGGATATCCGGTCTTCGTCGACGCCCCTCTTGGCTCCTCGGACGATTGTTTGATACGGAGTACGGTACCACTCACGCTTCCATCGTGGTTGCGTTCTGCAGGTTGCCGCCGTGTTTGGCATTCTAGGTCAGCCGATTGGGATGGGATGCGATCTTTTTTTGCATTCTAGTCCAACCTTTGGAGGTGGGTTTGCTTCTCCCCGGATGATCTCAGCGTTGATGCTGATTCTGTCGCTGATGTGGTGCTACAGTCAAGTTGTCAAGGCAAAGTCATCGGCAGAATTGGCAAGAAACTGGTTCGTCTTCCTTCGGGAACACGTGCATTCTGTTCTCTCGCTAAGGCTGTCCAAGGGAACTTCTGTCAGCCATCTCTCCCATCTCTGCACAGGGAGGACGACTCACTGGCCCATGCCGCAAAGGACAAAGCCGATCTACTGGGCTCTCTCTTTGCGTCCAACTCGACCCTTGATGACGGGAGGAACACACCGCCGACCATCCCGCGGTGTGAGTGCTCCATGCAGGATGTGCTGTTTACCCAACGCTCGGTGCGCAGAGCACTCCTCGTTGTCAACAAGTCGAGTGGGCCTGATGGCGTCGCTCCTATTGTGCTAAGGACTTGTGCTCCGTTGTTAGCCCCGGTATTAACGCGTTTTTTCCGGTACTCCTACTTCCTAGGCGTAGTCCCGAAATCATGGAAGACAGCTTTCGTGCAAGATCCCTAAAAAAGGTAACCACTCTGATCCGTTCAACTATAGGCCTATCGCCATCACCCTTTGTTCTCCTAAATAATGGAGTCTATTATTAACAGCCAGCTCATGCGGTACCTTGAGGGTCACCAGCTGATTGTGACCGCCAGTACGGTTGCCTACGCGGTCGCACGGCTGGTGATCTAACTCTGGGTTACCTAACTCATAAATGGGCGGAGGCAGTAGAGTCCAAGGCATTGGCTGTTAATGTCTGTCGATTACAAGCCCATTAACGCTGGTGTACCACAAGGCTGCGTGCTATCACCAACGCTGTTTCTTCTGCATAATTGATTGTTGCAAACCGGTAACATTCATTGCTATGCGGACGACAGCTCTGGTGATGCTTTATACACCGGCCTTGCCAGTATTTTTTGGGAAAACGTCGCCTAGTACCGGGACCAACTTGTGTCTGTAGTCGAGATTTTGTTGAACAAAGTCTTGGAATGGGGGCCAGTTCGATTCTCAGAAGACACAAGTTTACGTGTTTACCGCTTTAAAAATAAACCCTTCGACGTATCTCCTCAGTTTCTAGGCACTCCCCTTATTGCCTCAGTCAGTATCGGAATCCTCAGCGCCGACATATCGA